ATATATATATATATATATATATATATATATATATATATATATATATATATATATATATATATATAAATCCACATAACGAACATCCTTTAACATTTCATAAACCAAACAATTTCTCTAATTAATCTAGTCGGCTGCAACGCTTGGCTGGCGAAGTCAACATTACCCCCACCTTTAAAGTCATTCCATTAAACCCCGATTTCTGTCATCTCCTGTGACTTCTGCCATTAATCGGAGATCACAATTCTACAGTCCGTTTAATATGAAAAATCTGAAAACATGATGTGTGCAACCAATTTATTTAAAAATAAAATCAAAATAAATCATTTTTGAATACTAAATCACCTTTATTTTTTGAAGTAAGTCATACAATGTGTCATTTAACATGTTTTCTTGTTTTTTTTTTTTACAATAAAACCAAAATCAAGTGTAGTAGTGCGACAGGATATTTGTTTGATTTTTGTAAACCAATAAGGCTTTGTGCGAGTCATTATTTAAAACACCCATTCCTTAAATGACTTTTGAAGTCATTATTTAAAATGCGTCAGTCAAAGGGCTAAAAAGGAACTAAGTAACTACGTTGCAGACACAGGGCGACAACATGAGGTCATATTGACATTGTACCCCTAATGTCAACCAAATATCAACATCTAATCATGTTACACCTTGACGTTGTGTGAACGTTACATCAGATTTTTGTCACTTTCCAACACAACCTAAAATCAATTAAATAGCAATGTAATTTGACATCATTATTGGACGGCAAAATAACGTTGTCCTTAGAGGCTGGAAAGACATCAAATTTTGTTCACCTGATGTCATGACCTAAATCTAACCTAATATTAACGTCTAATATTAACGTCTTAGGTTTGCCTGCTGGGTAATTGAGTTACTTTTCTAAAAAAGTGACTTAAGATTGTAATAAATTCCTTTCAAAAGTTACTTTAACCAACACTGATAAAAAGATATCTAACTCAATATAATGTAACTAAATCTAGATCTTTGAGTAAATGTGATATTTAAAACTAAACGGAAGTACACATGTACACTACCTGACTAAAGTCTTGTCGTGAATCTAATGTAAGAGCAGCAAATAATAACTTGACTTTTAGTAATCATTTGGAAAAGTGGCAGAAGGTGGATTTCTCTGATGAATCATCTGTTGAGCTGCTTCTCAATCATCAAAAATACTGCAGAAGACCTACTGGGACCAGCATGAACCCAAGATTCCCACAGAAATCAGTTAAGTTTGGTTAAGGAAAAGTCATGGTTTGGGGTAACATTCAGTATGCAAGAGATCTGCAGAGTGGATGGCAACATCAACAGCCTGAGGCATTAAGACATTTCTGCTGCCCATTAGATTATAAACCACAGGAGAGGGCAAAGTCTCCAGCAGGATAGCGCTCCTCCTCATACTTCAGCCTCCACATCAAAGTTCCTGAAAGCAAAGAAGGACAAGGTGCTCCAGGATTGGCAAGCCCAGTCACCTGACATGAACATTATTGAGCATGTCTGGGGTAAGATGGAGAAGGTGTTGAAGATGAATCCAAAGAATCTTGATGATCTCTGGGAGTCTTGCAGGAACGCTTTCTTTGCCGTTCCAGATGACTTTATTAATCAGTGATTTGAGTCATGTCAGAGATGTTTGGATGCAGTCCTCCAAGCTCATGATGGAGTCAGACACAATATTCATTCTGTTTCCACTGCTGCATGACTTTATATTCTATACTGGACATTATTTCTGTTCAGTAACAAGACTTTTGTCTAAGCAAAGTCAGACCTTACTGCCCTAATGAAATCATTAATAATCAAGACATGATCATATTTTATTTTGCTAAAATAAGCATAATCTAGAGGCCTTTGCCTTTCATATAAACCACTTCTCATACCAAATGATAACTAGAAGTTGTTATTTGTTGTTGCTAATACCTGGATAGGCGACTAGACTTTTGTCAGGTAGTGTGAATCATCCAGTGATTGTTGTTGAAGTTTACTTGAATGTGATGAGGTAGTCTGGATAAGCCTGGCAGTCGTGAAAAACCACAAACATTGTGGGATCCTGGGTGTTATCTACCACACTGTCATAGAACTGGTCTGGAGCAACACGGACAGGGGGCGTCTTCATGTTCCCAAGACCCTGAGCATAATGACCCGTAAGCACACGAGCCACAAACATCAGCTGAGTCCCGTCTGCTGCTGGAACTGCGTAGGTCGCCTGAGCAGAGTAGCTGGCGTTCACTGCAAAGTACGTCCCATGACCGAAGACAGTGGCTGAGGAGGAATATATGCACACATATTGTCAGTATCAGTCACTCAATATCAGACTCTGGCTTCACAATACATCATCACATGCTTACAAATGCACAACACTAAAACCACCATACATGAATAAAATAAAGTTAAATAAATCAAAATAAATAAATAAATAAACAGTATATTCATTGATATTCATTTTTAACAGAACTGAATCAGTTTCAGTAATCAGAATCAGTAATCTAACCTGATCTGAATGGGTTTCACTATCTGAAAATCTTAATCTACGATAAGCTGCTTTAACACAATCTACATTCTTAAAAGTACTATATTAAAGATGACTTGACTGAACAAATTACCATTCTGCCCAGCAAAATTGCGGTTGAAGTTTGTGCTCATGATAGACGAGCAGGACGCCTGTGCAGAGCCGTGATAAAGGATTTTCTCTCCTGCTCCGACAGCTGGATCATTCTTGATCTCCAGCTCAGATTTACGTGCCTCATATAACCGCCGAAGATTGATGTTCTGGATGCGCTCGATCTGTTGAAATGCATTCGCACACAAACAGCCATGATTAAATCCATATTAATAGACTTCTTGTTTTTCACAAAACAACAAACCTGTAATGATAACATGTACATTAGCTAAAACTATCAAAAAGTTTTAAAACAAATCAAAATTTTTAACTTAAAAGACAGTTCAACCAAAATTGTAAATGTATTGATTCTTAAGGGGTCTAATTAAATTCTTCTGTAGAATAAAAAATAAGGCACTTTGTAGAATTTCAGGAATCAGAAACTGTATATATACAGTATATAATCAGAAACTGTGTATATATATACACACACATATATATATATATATATATATATATATATATATATATATATATATATATATATATATATATATATATATATATATATATATATATATATATATATATATATATATATATATATATATATATATATATATATATATATATATATATATATATATATATATATATATATATATATATATATATATATATA